TCTGATAGCTAAATGGAAAAGGGAAAATGTTTGAGTGCCTTAATTTCTGTGGCTCAAATGGTTCAAATTTGTCAAAACGACATCGTTTTGACAATTTTAATGTTGTTTTGTACTAAAACGACGTCGTTTTGACAAATTCGAGCCATTTGAACCACAAAAATTAGGGACCTCTATCATTATTGATGGAAAAGAGACCTCGAATGTACACGTGCACAAAAAATTGATGCCATTGATGAACATTTTCACAAAAATGGCAATGCACCACCAGCTGGCATTGACGTCTATATCTTGATTGCACTTTATTCTTTTTTACTATTTTGATGACGCTGGTTACATGAGTACGATCACACCATGTATCTAAATTACTGATATTACTTACATAAGTTAAAAAATTAAAAAAATTATTAAAAAAATAAAAAATTTATACTATTTACCTTATTTGGACTGAAAAAATAAAAAATAAGACAAGTTAACTGACATGCACAGAAAGCAACAGCGCAGCTCACTGGGGTGCAAAAAGAAACAAACCAAAAAAAAAATTGCAGCTCAATGCAATGATGTAGCACAATGTAAGCCATAACTTCAGAAATAAGTACAAGTTGACTAACATGCATGGAAAGCAGCTCTCAAATCAGAAGGATAGCAACATAATCTTGCTATTTGGGACAATATTTTAATACATATTTTTTCGTAAAAATTTAAAAAATTATTCTGAACATACATATTTTTTGAGAGAATTTTTTTTAAGGTTCATGCTATTAAGATTTTATAGTATAAAGGACACTCAATATTTTCATAATGTCTAAGGTCCCTTAGCATCGATTCAGAAAAAATTTGACCAGAGAAAATTCGGCCCAGAGAAAATCTGATCCAGAGAAATTTCAAAATTTCTCTAGACTTCACTCTTCAAACAAAATTCGATTCTTTTCTTTGGATTCAACACAGAGAAATTCTTCAAAACCAGATAAATTTCCCTCTCCACCCAGAGAAATTTACTCAAACCCAGAGAAAATCTCTCTCTAACCAGAGAAATTCACTTGTGTTGATGGCTTCAGTGATTTGGATGCATAGCCTTGGTAATCACTGCAACATTTCGATGGTCCAAGTGTTATGTGTACTACTAATAGAAAAGATTGCTCAACCATCCAGCAAGGTGCTATAATTTTGAGAAACTACATTTTCTGTGTTCATTAACAAACAAACAAACAAAGATGGTTCTTGCAGAATGTGAGAGTTTAATATCATAAGAGCAATTGGTATACAATTATTGACATCGACCTCTCCCTGTCGACCATTGTCGACGCCCCTACTGCTGTCACCGGAGCGTCGCTGCTCAGCCGTCACCTACGTCCTGTCTCACTCCCACTGCTACACTACTGCCACCGTCGCAACTTGCCACCCCTCACCACCCCGTCGCACCACCCTCGTTTCTCTCTCTCTTTCGCTGTTGTTGCCCCGCCAACTGCAGCTGCACCATCGTCATCCCTCCATCTCCAGCGTCCCACCCTCGCCAGTCGTCCTCTTGATAGCTGCCAAGATTTTGTTGGGCATGTTTTCTTTCTCAGCCCCCATCGCTACCTAGCACAGCCAGCAATGGTGCCCAGGTTGGAGCTACGTATGTTATAGTGGTATCCATTCCAGCGCCGAAAACATAAACTTTGCGTTCAGGTTGGAGTGAACTCTACGACGAGAGAGAGAGAGAAAGGCATCAAGAGAGAGATAGAGAGCGTGAGATATATCATCAAATTTCTCTGTGATAGATAAGTGTGGGTTAAGGGACCTTAAACATTAAAAAATAATATTGTGGATCTCTTCCATTACTAAAAATAGGGGAGGAACCTTAGACTAATTTTTTCTATTTTTTTCTACTTTTTTAGTTAAAAAATCAAAAAATACACTTATATAAATCATTCCAAACAAGCACATTAATTGGTTGGGCGAAGGACAAAGTTGACCCAACCATGCATCCACTTTTGCACCTCGCACTGTAGTATTCAGGAGCCGAGACCACTGAATAATTTTTTCCATGAAAAATCTCTCAATTTGATGCCTGAATCAGATCCACTGTTGATCCTTTGAGAAGTTATTATTGTTTTTAGCTACTGTCCTCTTGAGAGACGTCAGATGCTGCTTGTTCCCAGAAGGTCTCAAGAATTTTGCTACCAAAAATGCCTCAAAAAAGTAACCCCGAAAATGAAATGTATCAACCAGAATAAATCTTTATCCACACATTTCATTTTCACTTGGAATGTGAGAATTTAGAGATTTCTGGCTGGACTGAAAATCTAGGCCCATATATCTTCACTTGATCACCATCCTCTGCTTTAGGAAGTCCGCTTACCAGGGTCTTCAACTGACAAATTGGGAGGTTATTCTTTTACAACAGCAATCAAAATTCAAAATGATGCACCAGCTACTTTCTTCAAAATGTTTTCTAAAACTGTTTTCTTTGGAGTACTTTCTTTGACCAGTGTTCTCTAAAACTGCTTGAATCAAACCAGACCTTTCACTTCTTATGTTACATAAACTCGGGTACGGGTGTTGGGTACGGATATGTATCTAGAGTTCGGATTCATCAAACTATAAATTTAAGGATGCGTGGACTCCGCAAAAACAAATGTCATATTTTAATGTTTTTAATAAAATATGTGAGATAAAATAATGCTATATGTAACTTACAATGTCAAAAAGACATTTATAGTAATTATACAACAATATACACATATAATAATATTGTTATATACAATTATATAAGAAACGTCTGTTGAAAAGTAGTCGACACATATTCCATACCCTTGTCCGAATGTCAGGTATCCGACACGGGTATTTCATTTATTTTGAAGAGTCCGTGTAACATAGTTCACTTTTGTGCCTCAGATTCTCGTTCTCTCCTGTAGTCATAAACTGAATCAAAACCAACTCTTCCAACCCTCATATTTCGGCGAGTTCTTTTACTCCTACCTCTCTTCTTTTCTTTCAGAGCCATAGGTTGTAACGAGGGGACGTTATAAATCCATCCCAGTGGCACTAAAGCTGCAAGAAACTGTATCAAAATTCCCATAGGCAGGCTTGAGTAATCACCTGATCTTATACCAAGAAGAGAAGCCAATCCAATGCCCAAAAACCCGCTAACAATTGATGATAAACACAATGCCGAGGCCAAGAAAGAAGTGAGAGAACCTTCACAACCTGTCGAAGCCAAACTTGCAAAAAGCACTAGGAATGGCAAGACTTTAAGGGCATGTTTGATAGGATGGATTAGAGCATGGGATTGAGATTATTAATCCGTGACCCCAATTATCCTATATTTGTTTTAACATTTTGGTTTAGGATTATTAATCCAATAGATAATTAATCCAACAAAATTGTAGGATTATTAGTAATAGGGTAGGGGTGGGATTATTAATCTCATGGATAATTTATCCTATTAATCCAATTGGATAGTGAATACCACACTAATTTGATAGAATTATTAATACATCACAGTCTTGTGAATCAAACATGGCCTAAATTGTGCAATGATTTCTGCTAAACCCGAAAAACAAAGGGCAAACACGTCATTTAGAATTCCCAGTTTCAGAGTGATCTGCTTCACTAACATGAGGTCAAGAAGAAGCGAAGACGCGTATAGAATTTGGACTATACCGATTAGTTCCTTTTAAAATTTTGATTGTTCTTATCATTATCAATAGATTTAATTGTACATGTCTAAGTGTCGCATATTTAATTCACACAAATAATTTATTGGTTGAGAGAGTCATTAAATAAATTATAAATACAATTATTTCAAGTTCGACTCTCACTAGTAGTGAAAATCCAAGTCTATATGTGATTTGTAGTTGATTACATCTATATGATAGGAACAGTCTCGCATTTGAAATCAAATAAGGATTGTGATTAATCAATTGGATGGGTCCTCTTTTTTATCTTGATTGATTGGGAGACATATGAGAGGTCATTTTATTATTGGTTTGTGACATTGTTACATGGTGCTCTTGGACACTAATGCTATATATCATAATCTTTTAGTCCATACCCTTAAAATTAAGAGGATCTCTTATACCTTCATGTCTTCCACATGCTAATTAACTGAAAAATAACTGATATTTATGATTTAGTGCATTTGATTGGCAGTAATATTATCTTAATTGTTGAGATCTGAAGTTCAACTTTCACCACAATTAAGAGTTATAATTGTTCAGTTTAATATATGTAATTCTCATTATATTTATAAATTATCTCTGATTAATAAAAACAAAAACAAGAAGGAAAAAAAACAAAAAAAAAAAGAAGTAAATAGCATGAGTCAGAGTAATGCCAAAAAGGTGAAAACTCCTACAAGCTTGAACTTGAACCAACCAAAAATTGTCAAGTATAGTAGGCACATATGGTGGATTAAAACTGTCTAAATATATATTTGACAAAGTTTGGCAAACCACCTAGCCGGCCATGATTTAATAATTTGGCAAGTCTATCCAAATATTTGGACTAACTTTGATTTGGTATGAAATCATAAATCTAACTAAAGGTTTGTTCTCAATTTGATCACATAAAGGATTGGAACTCAAAATTTAATTAGAAAGTGTGTGTATAGTGTAGATTCAAATTTAATGTTTTGTAAATCACACGCATAATAAATCTAGTTCACACAATTTAAACAATAATTTTTTAGGTATTTTCTTTGGCATGTATAACCAAATTAGTTTAAATTGTTGGACATATACTTTTATACACATACATTATTCTATTATTATGTTTGATAATGATTTGTAATGTTCAGATTTGATTTATAATATTTATTTTATTTACAAAAATAATAAGGTAAATGCTAACAAGTTCTAATATTAGAAATGTGAGAAAAAAAATGTTGAAAAAGTGTTAAAAAAAAAATTAAAAAGCATTTTAAAATTCATCAAAAGTGTATTAAATTTAGTGATAATTGTCCTAGAGTTTCTACATCTTTTGTCCTTTACTTGTGCCTTAGGGTTACAGGACCCAAATAATAAATACCCAACTTGAAATAACACTTGACCCAGTACAAATATCAACAAAATGGAGCAAGAATATGAAAGTCACGAAATGAGCGAAGTCGATCTTACCTTCATTAATTGGTTGGGCGAAGGACAAAGTTGACCCATTTATGCATCCACTTTCGCACCTCGCATTGTAGTACTCAGGAATCAAGACCACTGAAAAAAATTTCGATGAAAAATCTCAGTTTGATGCCTGAATCAGATCCACTGTTGATCCTTTGAGAATTGTTTTTAGCTACTGTCCTCTTGAGAGACCTCAGATGCTGCTCGTTCCCAGAAGGTCTCAAGAATTTTGCTACCTCAAAAAAGTACCCCAAAAATGAAATGTATCAACCAGAATAAATCTTTATCCACACATTTCATTTTCGAGGTACTTTTCTGCGAGTGATCGCACTTGGAATGTGAGAATTTAGAGATTTCTCGCTGGACTGAAAATCTAGGCCCATATATCTTCAACTGACAAATTGGGAGGTAATTCTTTTACAACAGCAATCAAAATTCAAAATGATGCACCAACTACTTACTTCAAAATGTTTTCTAAAACTGTTTTCTTCGGAGAACTTTCTTTGACCAGTGTTCTCTAAAACTGCTTGAATCAAAACCAGACCTTTCACTTCTGTGCCTCAGATTCTCGTTCTCTCCTGTAGTCATAAACTGAATCAAAACCAACTCTTCCAACCCTTCTATTTCGTCGAGTTCTTTTACTCCTACCTCTCTTATTTTCCTTCACAGCTATAGGTTGTAACGACGGGACGTTATAAATCCATCCCAGTGGCACTAAAGCTGCAAGAAACTGTATCAGAATTCCCGCAGGGAGGCTTGAGTAATCACCTGATCTTATTCCAAGAAGAGAAGCCAATCCAATGCCCAAAAACCCGCTAACAATTGATGATAAACACAATGCCGAGGCCAAGAAAGAAATGAGAGAACCTTCGCAACCTGTTGGAGCCAAACTTGCAAAAAGCACTAGGAATGGCAAGACTTTAAATTGTGCAATGATTTCTGCTAAACCCGAAAAACAAAGGGCAAACACGTCATTTGGAATTCCCAGTTTCAGATTGATCTGCTTCACTAACATGAGGTCAAGAAGAAGCGAAGAAGCGTATAGAATTTGGACTATACCGATTAGTTTTCTCATGGAAATGCTTTTCCAGAAACGGTCATAGATTAAAGTTATGGAAACAATCATCAATTGGCCAGTCACTCGCGACATCCCAATTATTGAAGGGTCGAGATTTAGGCATTGTGTTTGGCAGCAAAAAATTGGACCCGACAAGATTGGGACAATGGCAATCGAAGCTACAATCCAAGTAAGAGGGTGACAGAGGGTTTCTTCGCTAATTGCCATGATAAGATCGGAATACTGTTTTCTAATACTATCTGAAATAGATTTCTTCGCAAGACTGTGGGGTGATGATTGAGGTAAACCAATAGAATCCTCTCTTGTCGCAAGAGAAATTGTGAGTTGGAGAGAAAGAAAAGCAGTGAAGACTAGGAACATGGATTTGGGATTTTGTGTTTTCAGTAAGAAAAAACCGCCAAGTAAGTTTCCTATGATTCCACCGGAAGCTAAGGCCATAAATGCATAAGATTGGAGACCACACATTTTGTGCTTTTGGCCGTACTCAGCAACAAGAGCGTCCTTCACTACTTCTGCAATGGATGCTCCGAGATTACTGAGAAGTACGCATGCCATGAGAGTAGGAAGGGCTTCACTTGCCAATGGGATCAACGCCAATGGCCCCCAAGATAAAACCTGCAAAATGACTGTAAGAGTGTGATTGGTATCAGTGTATGCATCACATTGGTCAACTGGTGGGTTGTTTATCAAGCAAGACAGATTCATGAAATCAATTCAGCATTTCTCTTTGATCTGAAAATGTGCAAAAGATCCAACTTATCAGATCTTTTAATGTCCTAAATCTGTCTAGAATGAGGATTTGATTTTCACAGCTTGTATAAATCTTGATATTGTTTACAATCAGAAATAGGTATACCATGATTGGAGTGGGCTAACAAGAACACACAACATGTGGGGATACGTGCAAAACATTTAAGTTTGAATGTAAATTTAATTATGACATAATCAAAGTTTTCAATGAAGTATTGAATTTTAAATGCCAAACTGAATTAAGCTTCTAGAGCATTTTTGAACTCCCAATACTTGCTATAATAATGCAAATTGACTTCTCTCAACTTGATTATGTACATTGTACTCTAATAAATTTTATTAAGACTTGATCTTAAACTTCCCGGTAAATTAAGCAAAGTCACAAATAAAAGGCCAAAAAAAGTAAGAGTTGTTGCTTGCTCTTTACTACAAAGACTACTATTTTAAAACAGGTCAAATTTTCTCAAACTATTTCTATTGATGGCAAATCTGAAAGTTGGCATCTACCTTAAACATGCAATTTTCTATTGACATAACTATTTTAACAAGAAGTTAGCATATGAAGTCAAAGGTAAAAAGGTGTAATAACATCAAACCATAGAGACCAAAACAGAGAAAAGAGCAAGAACATATTCAACCCCCAGTTTAAGGCTATCAAAGCAAACTAAAACATCAGAGTGTTCAGCAGCAATGTAAACATTCAATGAGAAAACAGCTCCAAATACTAAATTTTTAAAATGTCATGTTAACGACAGCCCTATGGGCGTACAACAAGACAGAGACAATGCCAAAATAGTTAGAACTATAATGCACTTTTCAAGCATCCTCAAATAATTTTACATATTTTATATGAGCAATGCTAAACGAAATAATAAATCTTATAAATTTTTCCTCACTAATGCGAAGAACACAGAATTAGAACACAGATTGGGTCACAGAAAGCGTATTGATAAACTGAGATTTATTCTTTTCTTTTTTCTTTTTTGTGATAAATAAAACTGAGATTTATTCTTCATGTGGATCCTTCCATAACTGGGTTTAATGCCAACCTTCCATTGTATTTTTTGTGAAGTAATAGAGCATCTCCAACCCTTCACCAGTTTTTTCGTCTAATTTGAGTCCAAATATGAGTAAAAAACTTCATTTGATATGAGCCACTCCAATCCTTTCATCAAATTTTTATCAAAATCTTTTTAAAAATTCTTCTTTTATCCCAAATTTCCCTTTTCATCAAATTTGATAGGGGAAAAAAAATCATTTCCAATGCTTCCTTCATCTTTAAAAATTTTCATGAAAGATTTGATAAGAGTTCTCAATTTGATAAAAAAAAATGCCTCTCCTTGATTTGATAAACATTTGATGAAATGATTGGAGATCATTTTTAAGCTCTTTTTCATCAAATTTAAATTTTATGAAAGACAAGGTGAAGAATTGGAGATACTATGTGATTTATTTTGTGTTCCAAACATTGCCAATTTTTCTTACTAACTGATATGACATCTATACCATATTATTGAAGTAGGTCTTATTCTAATTTTGAAAATTAGCAAGATTTATAAATTAGTATAACATTTGTTTATACACATTTTCTACATATTTCACTACAAATATTTACAGGGGATAATGATTACCTTTTGAACAATCATTGATATTATCCTTTTTAGAATATAACAAGAACAAAACAAACTCATTATGGTAAAAATCAATTTCAGCTAGTATAACCAAAATGATTAACAAGTGAAAAGGAGAACCAGCCACATAAGCAGACAAAGATCCTGCAGAGTTATTGCACCACACATTAGCCATTAATGAAGCCCCTGCAGCATTAAATGCGATAATCCCTTCACGTCGGAGCCGGCAGCCTCACCGTGAACAAAGCAAGTTAGAGCGTAGACTTTCGGCCAACGTGACAGGTCAGAGTGGACAAGGAAATGATAAACAAATGATATGATGAGGCTTACAAGACACAAAAAGGTTAAGTGCCCTATCATTATTCCTCTATCATTCGCCATTAACCTTTCTCTCTTTTAACTTGACCGTCGGAGGGTCCGCTGGAGGACTCTCGTTCCCCGCTGGGCTTTTTGCGTAGGTACTCTGGTGGGCTCAGTGATCAGGGAACGACGTTGAAAGTGTGGGCCTATGATCAATAATACTATCAGGTATTATCAAAATAAAATAGGTTAAAATAGTCAATAAGATAAAATGTCACATTAAATACATAATTATTTTACTCTCTCTCACAAATATCACATTTAATTACAAAAAAATTAACAAACTAATCTTCTTAAATATAAATATTTTAATATACTAAAATAACCTATTAAAATAATCATTTTCTAAGCGATACCATTATTAGAGTGGGTCTCTCAAGATTAGATATTTTGGCAATCTAACATTTTAAAATATGACATTGGTTCAATTGAAACCCTTCATCAACTATCCACATCAACTATCCACAACTATACTACGCACACACTTCAACTTTTTCGTACAATACCCAACTTCATTTAGCCTTCGTTTGGGAAGTGAGTTGACTTTTTGATTTTTTGACTTTTTAGTTATTTTAATCTGGTTTGGGAAGGACTTTTTAACTTTTTGACTTTTTTAACTTTTTTCATGAGAGAGGATTGTAATGATTATGGGTTAGATTTGATATTTTGTTTTTTGTGGCTAAAATAGCTTATTTTGTTTTTTGTGACTATGTTAGCCAAAAAAACTTGGCTTTTTTCTTCCCAAACGGAGCCTCAATCAATTTTATTGTGTTTGAAAAGTAGAATGTAAAAGATTAATAGTGAGGGAATTAAATAAAATTATATTTGTTTTGATGATTGTTATTAGTATAGGAATTGTTAAATTATTTTTATATAAAATAATAAAATAAATAAAAAAATATAAAAAATTAAACATTAATATTTTTTTTAAAAATCTCAATATATAAAAAATAAAAAAAATTTCTAATCTCCTCACTATTTTTCTAATACCATCTTCACCTCCTCCATCTCAATCCTCCTTCCAACATCCATCTATATCACCTCCTCTATCTTAATTCCCCCCTAACTCTACAAACAAACACAACATTAAATAACCTTACCTCCATCCTAATCCCCTCCCATCTATTTAACCTCAAAACAAACGGGACTTAGGAGACAAACAGAGTTTGGGGCGATGGTCCCGAAGTTATGGGCAGCTATGTCCAGATGTGGAGGAACTTTTGCAAACAAGTAGGGCACTGTTCCACTTCGTTTGGGTACAGGGAATTTGAGGATTTGTGTGGTTTGTATCTCAAGATATAATTTTTGAGAAATTTTTTTAAAATTTTGTTTGTTTCAAAGTTTTTTTAAAAAAAATTCAAAATCATTTTCTCTCTCTTACAAATCAATCAATCACTTTTACTCTCTCATCTCTTATTCTTTTTTTTTTGAACGACTCTCATCTCTCATTCTCAATCACTTTTTTCTCACATACGTCTACTCAATTAAATAAAGTGAGTGTTTGGGAAGTTTCTATTTTAATAGGTCATTTTAGTTTTTTTTATTATTTTAGTAGGTTAAAATTTTTGTGTTTGGAAAGATAGTTTGATTTTTTTATAACTGGATTTGTAATGTTTGTGAGAGAAAAAAATTAAATGTTTATGGATTTGATGTAACATTTTGTCTTATTGACTATTTTAATCTATTTTGTCTTTTTTGTGAATTTTAACCCAAAAAACCCAAAAAAAGCCCTTGTCAAACACCCCAAAATATCAAATCATCCCAAACTTCACAACTTCAAAATTATTTTTAAAATATACAATCAAATAAACTAAAAAAAAAAATTAGGCTTTGTTTGGTACAGCTCTGGAATGTTAACTAACGTTCCAGAGCTTATTTTGCATATGATGTTTGTTTAGATGTTTCAAATTATAATTTCATACTCACTTTTAAAAACGCGGTCAAAAGCGAAAAAATTTGGACAAACCGGACATCCTACCGGACGTCCCATCTGTCGTCCGGCCAGTTGACCGAAACAATGCAAAATATATATTTTTTTTTTTTGCAATTGATATTTGTTAATTTTTATATATTCGAAAAACATATTTTTTGAATTTTTAAAAAAAAATTATGTGCTTTAATAGAATTTTGAGTTATATGTTTGGTTATGAGTTATAAGTTATAAGTTTTTGTATCAAATATTATATAACACATCAAAAATTTCCCACTCAATTCAAAACTCTTTCACTAAACAAATTTTGCACACTCAAATCATAATTCTAAAACTCACAAACTCAAAATACAACTCTTACACTCAAATTATATTTAGAAAGTTCTACCAAACGCAATCTTAAACTCTCTCCTCAATTTTTTTTTAAAAAAATTATCTCAAAACACAAACCAAACACGCCTGAATGTTTAGGGCGATGGTCCCTAACGTTATAGGCAGCAGTGTCCAGATGTAGAGGAACTTTTGCAAACAGGTAGGGCACTGTTCCACTATGTTTGGGTACAGAGAATTTGAATGGCTCGCATCAATAGGAATGGCAACGAGCCGGGTCGGGCTGAGGCCGGGGATCATACTCCCCGTCCCCGACCCCCGATGGTAACAATGTCTCCCGGCCCCGATTCCCGATGGGGGACCTATCACCATCCCCGCCCCGATCTCCTAACGGGGATCGGGTATCTCCGACCTCGAAATTCCCCGCTTAAAAAAAAAAAAAAAAAAGACAAACCGAGATCGTCGGATCGACATCAACATCATCAACAACAACTACAACTACAATTTGTTTCATCTGATCATCATCAACATCAACAACAAATAATGAGATAAAGAGAGATAAAAAGTGACATCAACAAACAAAGAGATAAATAGCAGTGAAACTCAGATCTCAGATCTACAAAAC